ACAACCCAATAAAAAATCCCAGTCCCTAACACCCTCCCAGCAACCAACAACAACAACCAAACCGAAACGCTCCCCAAGTCAACAACCCCTCTCATCTCGGAACCACGCGAGTCCCCCCTCTCCTCAACAACCAAACCCATCCCAATCCCAATCCCAACCTCCTCTTCCACATCCGCAACCGCAACCGCAACCGCAATCCTCCCCTGGCACCCATCCTCCTTCACCTCCCTCGCCGCCCGCCGACCACCACCCTCCTCCTCCTCCTTCAACAACAACAGCAACAACAACAACACAAGCAATAGCAACGACGCCCAGCAGCAGCAGCAGCAGCAGATGCTACTGCCTGTACCTGTCCCGCTACCACCAGACTCGACGCGCGGTCGGAAAGGGTCGGCGGATGTGAGGAGGTGGTCGTCGGATGATGGGAGCTGTGAGGGTGAGGAGGGTGATGATGATTGATGATGATGCTGGGGGGAGAGATGATGGGAGATATGCAATATAGTTGGGGAAAGGGGGTGGGGTGGGGGGGGGGGTCAGTTTGGGAGGGTTTGCTTAGACGGGTAGTGAGTGGTGTTTGGTGAAAAGGTGGCCGAGGAGGATTATTATAGACAAAATGGTGGATGGATTGTTGATTGCGTTGTGTTTGTTTCGGTTTGGGAATGGGAGCTTCATTTTTATGTCGAGGTGTCGCCATATTGTAGTCCCCCCTACCTTAGTGGTATAGTTTTTTAACGCTTGATTTGTCTCTGTCTGTCAAAACAACAACCGGGACAGGGCATACTAATCTCTTACCCATACTAAGTCTTAGTGACTGTAACCCCACGATGTGGCACTATCCTGCTTTGGGGATCGAGCACGCGACCAGCGATGCTTGTTCCGCAGCTTCACGGGGAATACGGTATGTACATAGGTATATACACTGTCGAATGACCTACATACCTGAAGGAAGCTAGTTGCAATGCAAGAAATTGTCCACGAAAGAGAGCTCTAGTGCTGACGGGTGATGGATGGGATTTGCAGCAGGTTCAAGCCAGACAGCCTGGGACCAGTCTGTCGCACTCTCGTGATACCAGCGGTGGCCTGGATTATTACAGTACACGAATGCAAGTCCCTCTCCTCGGCGCGATGAAGCTATCAATGGGCTCGAGAATGTCGCCGGTTAAAACCATAGGAAAGCGTCACAGCAATGCGCTCAGAATTCCCTCAAACGTACGGCTGGATGATCTGGCAACTAGCGATGAGCAATCACGGGACACGGGGAAAAGGAGTCCTTCGATGCAGCGCTGGTTGCGGTTGAATGTTATGTAATGAAGAGAGAAGAGGAAAAGAATTCCCAGACAAATTTTTCCATTGATGAGTGAAGCTAGCACACAGTGCGTGCAGTTTCCTCAATTGTCCAAGTGCACACTGTACGATATCAAAGGAAGTCCCGTCCTGGTGGGGTCTGAGTTCGGGCCGTTTCCCTCAACAGTCCGTCGGGCCCGTGCATGGCCACAACTGTCAGCCGGGATCGAAGAAACGACCCGTTTCGCCTGGGGTCGACGAGCCACCTGCAAAGACCCTGACGAGCCTGAATCGGCCCAAGCAAAGACGACGATCCCCCACCGACGGTCCGTGGGTCGCCGGCAAACCCCGGGGACGGCCACACGACAAGTTGCCTCTTGACGTCGCGGGGGTACCTACTCGATTGCCGCGGACGGAGCGGCTTCCCCCCATGGCCCCCCGCGGGGAGCTGACACGAAAGTGACTCGCAACAGGCAGGTGACAAGATGGTCCATGTGCGCCTTCTTGTCCAGAGGACTGCCCACATGTCTCAGTCCGAGTTCTCGAGGCGCCCGAATGGTCGCGGTTGTGGCCAACACGTGGGAATGATGCTCGAAGGATATTGGCTCCCCCGACGCCTCTCGAACAAAAAGGGTGTTATGTGATTCAGCAATGTAATTCGGGAACCTGCTGCAATAAGAAGAACAAGTCGGCTGCCGAAAAGGCCACCCCCGTTGGCCACAAGGGTTCTCACCGTCCACGCGCGTGCGTGTTGGAGATAGCTGCCTGCAAGCATTTAAGAGACCGGGCTCTGCTCACCAGTCATCTCAAAGCCCACCATGATCGCTGTGATCGACGCTAAATCGGGCGGCGCTCTGGGCCAAGAAGACCGCGGCTGCTCCGGCTGCTGCTGTTCGGGAACGGCGTCATCGAGACAGGCCCGACCACCTTGCTGGCCACCGCTCAAACATTTTGGTACCTCGGAACAAATACCGGGGTCAGCCCGGGTGTTCGACGCCCAAACCCGGAATCCCGTGCCCAGTTTTCTTCCCCATCCCGTTTTGAGAGGAGAGTGACTACCAAGCTATGTAAAGGCGAGGTTCGCGCTAGACCACAGCATCGTTCGTTCCATCACATTTTTATCTCTTTTTCGTCGTCTGTTCTCTCCACCCGAAACCCCGAAAACCGGGGTGTGTCTGCATGATGGCTCTCGGGCGCGTTTTGGCGCTGGCACTGCTGCTGTGCAATGGTGCCATTGCCGTCCCGCCGGGGCCTGCGCACGCTGCCCCGCGGAAGCTGCATGGCAGGTTCCTGCATATCACCGGTTGGTCCCCCTCATCGCCCGATCTATCTTTCTAGGCCTTGGCATTCTAGATATCGGAATAGTGGCAAACTGACAGCGGCGCGCTTCGCGACAGACATCCACCCCGACGAATACTACAAGGTGCACTCGTCGACCGACGAAGATGGCGCGTGCCACAGGGGCAAGGGGCCCGCGGGCCCCTACGGCGCCGAGGTATCCGACTGCGACAGCCCATTCTCCCTCGTGAACGCGACCTTCGACTGGATCGCCGCCAACCTCGCAGACACCATCGACTTTGTCGTCTGGACCGGCGACAGCGCGCGCCACGACCGCGACGAGGGGCTGCCCCGCAATGCCGCCCAGGTGCTGGGCACCAACACCTGGATCGCCGACAAGTTCGCCGACGTGTTCGACGACAAGCACGGCAAGGGCATGACCATCCCCGTCGTGCCAAACTTTGGGAACAACGACATCCTCCCACACAACATCCTGCTGCCGGGGCCCAACAAGTGGTTCCAGCACTACGCCCAGATCTGGCGCCACTTCATCCCCGAGGCGCAGCGCCACAGCTTCGAGTTTGGCGGCTGGTTCCACGTCGAGGTCATCCCGAACCAGCTGGCTGTTTTTAGTTTGAATACGCTGTACTTCTTCGACCGCAATGCCGGCGTCGACGGCTGTGCGAACCCGTCCGAGCCGGGGTATAAACAGATGGAGTGGTTGAAGGTGCAGCTGCAGTTTCTGCGCCATCGCGGCATGAAGGCGATCTTGATGGGGCATGTCCCCCCGGCCCGGACCGAGAGCAAGATGCTGTGGGACGAGACGTGCTGGCAAAAGTACTCGCTGTGGATGCAGCAGTTCCGGGATGTTGTGGTGGTTGGTCTGTATGGGCACATGAACATTGACCACTTCCTGATCCACGACACGCACGATATTGACATTGCCGCCGTGGCCGGGCTATCTGCTGATTCGGTCAGGGCCCGCGAGGCCATGGAGGACGAGCTGTCGATACAATCCGCGTCGGATTACCTGACCGAGCTGCGCTCCGGCTGGGCCAAGCTGAAGCCGCCGCCTGCATCTGGCGGCAAAAAGGAGGTTGGCCAGGCGGGCAAGAAAAAGAAAGACAGGAAGCGCAGGGACCCTTGGGGCGAGCGATACCACCTCTCCCTCGTCGGCCCCAGCGTCGTGCCGACCTACTTCCCGACGCTGCGCGTGATCGAATACAACATCACCGGTTTAGAAGACGCCCCAGTTTGGAAGGACGTTGCGCAAAAGGGTGTCGGCGAGGGCGAGTCTGCCCAAAAACACATCGAACTCCGCCACCTCTCCACCGAAACCGACTCCGATATCGACACCGACGCCGACGCCGACGCCGACGATGACATGACATCTACCAAGAAGAAAAACAAGAAACACAGAAAGAAGAAGAACAAAAACAAAAAGAAGCCCCCCGCCCACGACCCCAACCTGCTCATCCCGTCACCACCCTCCAAAGCCGCCCCGCCAGGGCCAGCCTACTCGGCCCAACCGCTCACCCTGACCGGGTACACGCAGTACTTTGCCAACCTAACCCACATCAACAACCTCAACCTCACAACCGCCGCCGACGCGTCTTTATCATCCACAGTGTCAGATTCAGATTCAGGCTCATCCTACTCGTGGCGGTGGTGGCTCCTCTCGCGGTGGCGCAACGGGAAACACGGCGGCAAGAAACCCGTCGTTCGCCCCCCGCCGCAGCCGAGAGAGTTTGGGTTTGAGGTCGAGTATAGCACGTTTGACGACCGCATCTATCTGCTCGGGGACTTGACGGTGAATAGTTTTGTGCAGCTGGCTGTGAGGATTGGGGGGGGCAAGGCAGGAGGGGTGGGTACTGCCGGTGCCGGTTGGGAGGGGGGTGAGATTGAGGGGGGTGATGATAGTGATGATGATGATGATTATGAGGGGGGGGATAGTGATGATGATGATAGCGATGATGAGGAGGAGCAGGAGGAGGAGCAGGAGGAGGAGCAGGAGGAGGAGCAGGAGGAGGTGGGGACGGAAAAGAAGAAGAAGGGAAAGGGGAAAAAGGATAGGAAGGGTAAGAAGAAGAAGATGAACAAGGCGTGGTTGCATTTTTTGAGGCATGCGTTTGTCGGGACGCTGGAGAAGGACGACTTGGATAAGTTTTTATAAGACGGTGGGACTGGAGGTATCTTGGGTTTTGTTTTTTTGCATTGCGATGGTTGAGCATATCCTAGCGTTTTGTCATTTTGGTTTTCACAGTCTAACTGAGCTATCTGCCATTGGTTCTTCGAGAGAGGCTTCATTCAAGTGATCATTTAGAGACAACAAGACAATGTATCAAGGTTGCTCTCTGTAATGTCATAGTCGACAAACGTTGTTGAGTTCTCTCACAGGTATTCAACCTAAAATGGAAGGGAAAGAAAAAAAGATTGTGCTCGTCAGACCGGGTTTGAACCGGCATCTCTCACTCGTAAACTAGCTGGCGATACCCCGATAACACCCCCTTGCCCCGTTACCAAAGGCCCAGCTAGAACACGTGCAGTCCCTTGTTGTGAAGATAGACTTGGCAGGTTGTTTTGGGTGTGAGTGTTGTCACACCTATCCTCATCGCCCACCGTCCCCCGCCGCCGTCTTTACACCAGAGGGGCGCTGCCTTATGGGTAGAGCCCCGCATGGTAGGTTTGGGTGGGTGTGTTGTTGTCCCGGGGCGAGGGCACAAACAACGAATTGGATGTTGAGTGTGGGATCGAACCGAGAGGTTCAGAGGGGGAAACCCAAACCGACCATGCGGGGTGCTACCGTACGAGTGAGTGTGTTGACCACTACACTACTGGCGAGCTGTTTTTGTTTAATTTGGAGGGGTTGTGACGGGGTTATAGGGCAGGTAGTTTGAGAAGCAGGTCATGTGAGCGTGGCTGAGGTAAGGCCTTTTTTTGCCGTGCGCATTCGCTTTTGCTTTCGAGGTCAGGTCGTGATCCTAGGGGGTACCTAGGCACCGCCGTGGTGGTGTTGAGGTCTTGAGGACGTGTAAGTCGCGCCTGTCAGTGCCAAGCATATAGCCGGTGGGGGCCATTCACCTGCACGTCAGACCCCTGAGGGTCGCATCTCTTATCTTATCGATCCTTTCTCATTTCCCAGTTCCCAACTCTAACCCTCAACTCCCAACTCCCAACAACACCACCCATCTCCTCAATTCCAATGCCCCAACCGCAAATGCCGCCGCCCTAATGTTCCACTCCCTTCGCCTCCGCCTCCCCACCGGCCGCCGTCTCCGCCGCCGCCGCATGGCGACCCTCGTCCTCCCGCTCGTCCTCCTCGTCCTCCTCCTCTTCCTCCCGCTCTACATAATCTACAAACCCCCCTCCCCCCTGATCCGCCACCTCTCGCACCGCTGGACCGACGTGCTCTTCCGGGTGTGGCTGCCGCGCACGAAACCGCTCGTGGCCCTGACCATCGACGACGCGCCGTCGGACCACACGCGCGCCATCCTCGCGGCCCTCGGCGCGGCCGGCGCGCACGCCACCTTCTTCGTCATCGGGTCGCAGGTGGCCGGCCGCGAGGACGTGCTGCGCGAGATGGTGCGCGCCGGCCACGAGCTGGCCAACCACGGCATGCGCGACGAGCCCGCCGCCGCGCTGGGCACGGCCGAGCTCCAAGGCCAGATCAACCAGGCCCAGGCCCTGATCGACGCCGCGTACCGCGCCGAGGGCAAGGAGCCGCCGCCGCCCGGGGGGAAGGGGCGGTATTATCGGCCCGGGTCGGGGTTTTTTAGCGAGCGCATACGGGGCGTGGCGAGACGGTTGGGCTATCGCGTCGTGCTGGGCAGCATCTACCCGCACGACGCCCAGATCGGCTGGGCGTGGGTGAATGCGAGGCATATTCTGAGTATGCTGAGCCCCGGGGGGATTGTGATTTGTCATGATCGCAGGAGTTGGACCGAGCCGATGCTGACGAGGGTGTTGCCCGAGATGAAGAGGCGGGGGTATCAGGCCGTGACGCTGACCGAGTTGCTGCGGGAGGTTACGGGGTGAGAGGGGAATGCTTAGACGAGGATTTTCATCATCAGGATGGACGTTAGGGGGTTCCTAGGGCCACCGAACGCCCGGCAATCTGCCCGCTTTGGGATGACTCTATTCCAGCGGAGCCGCCATCGAGGCATGACGAAGCCGGAGACCAGCCCTGACTGACGCTTCACTAGCGCCCTCTGGTTTCAGTCATGAGGCTTACTCGGCCAGACCACGGAAGACGTGCCGCAGGAGACAGGCCACGTCGAGAGCACGCCGGGTCACCAAGAAGTCGACACATCCAATGAGGGACCCATGTCTGGGATGGACTACGGGGGAAGAAGGGATGAGACAGACCAGAGCGCGCGCCAGTGGACGAAACGAAACATTAGCTACGTGTAGGAACGCTCTACCCCCTCGAGTCTATCTAACCAGACAAAAGAAAAAACCACTCTGGCGCTTGCCGCCTCCTCTTTATCTATCACCACCATTACCCATTATCATTCCCAGTCGTTACATGCCAGCCCACCCCCCCTTCCCTTCCACTGCCCCGATCCTAGCCGCCAGCTCAGACCCCGCAGCAGCCAGCTCCGGTGCTGCCATAGCGAGCAACAAAGTAAGCGCAGTACTCGGCCGCCGCGTCTTCTGTGTAGGAGGGGTCAGCAAGGACGCGGGCGCGGATCTCGTTGATGAGCTGGCCGCCGCCGCCGCCACCGCCGCCACCCGGGTGATGGACGAGGAGGGTGAGGCGGACGGGCTCGGAGAGATGACAGAATACTGCTTCCAGGGCTGCGAGGGAGAAGGAGGGGCAGGTCATCAGGCGGTCGGTGAAGGTATGGTTGGTTTCGTCAAGCAGGGTGAAGTCGACGAGCCCCCCGACCCCTTTGTTGGTGAGGTGTTTGGTGAGGTCGGCGAGTTCCCTGGGGGTGAGGGAGGTTGGGTCGAGGACGTGGAGGAAGGTCTCGCCGCGGTTGTTGGCTATGCCGGGATGCGAGGAAAGTGTTATGATGCGGAGGAGGACTGGTCCAGGCGCGCCCCATCGCGCAGCGACGTGGAGTGCTGTGTTTCCGAGCCCGTCGCGGCTGTCTGCCTCGGCCGCGGTGCAGTCAAACGTCTCGGCCGGGCTGCCGTGCATCAAAACGGCCTTGATGCGCTGGTGGATACACCACGACGTCTTGCCGCAGCAGAACCTGACCAGCTCCTGGTTCTCTTGCGTATGTGAACTGCTGCCCTGCGTCACCCCCCAAGCAGTAGAACCGACAAGGAAGTCGGGCATGTCCATCTCCCCAGACCAGGCAATGCTATCCGTCATGGACAACCCAGTCGAAGGCCGTTCCGCCTCCCGGTCGCCAGAGCCCGACGCCTCAACCAGAGACGAAACCGACCGCATACTCCGACGTGACGATCCGCTGGACGACCGAGAAAGACTCGACCGAATCGACAGCCCGCTCAGCAGGCTGGCCACATCAGCTAGGAAAGACGACGACCGGCTCGGACACCGCTCCCTGAGGAAGTCAACCCTCTCAACTCGAATATCCTCGTCTGCCGACCACGGATTCCGAAACACCTCGCCCCCCAAGACCTCCCCAACATCCGTGGCCCCACTCTCCAGCGACGTCCTCGACTCGCCCCCGGTGTCCAGGGGAGACCTATGACTCGGGTTAGACGCCGTATCGGGCTTCTGGATATCCGGAGGTGAGCCAAGAAGCGAGTCCAGGTCCTCCTCCGGCTCTCCGCTGGTGTCTCGCGCCTGTGCCGCCGACAAGTTGGCCTTGTTGCACGCGGCGCCAGGATTCGATTTCAGCAGGATGGCGCACTCTTTTTTGACGACGACCACCTCCTCCTCCCGTCTCGGAGCAGCCGCGAGAAGTTGCGGTGGGGGGTCCATCCGAAACATGCCGATGCCGTCCCTGACAGACCGCAGATAGGCCAGCCTCTCGCCCATGGTTGTCCGGTTCTTGGGTCTCTTTTGGCGGTAGGACTTGGACAGCATGTCGTTTAGGAGACATTGCGTGTGGCGCGGTCTGTTTGTTGCGCCCCAACAAGTCAAGTCAGCTCATGGCAACGTTGTCACAACAAACAGTGCAACTCGGGAGAATTCTTCTTCTTACTTTGGTTGGAACGGCCCCTCGGCCAGGAGCTCGAGTATCTTTTTCAGCGACAGCTCCGCCTCGGGCGTGCAGAGGTACAGTCTGAGCAGCCGCCGCTTGCGCGACCGGGTCCATTCGATTGCTGGTCTGCCGCGCCGCCTCCGGGGCGGTGCTCCGCCGCTGCCACTAGGGGTGGCAGCAACACTCGGCTTTGTGACTCGCCCCTCTTTGACTCGGCACATTGGGAATAAGAGGACCGTTGCATTCTAGCTGGACCAGCAAGGGGCTATCTTCTGGAGATGAGAGACTAAGTGATGGTGGGTTGTGTGTGTGTGGTCGACGGAGGGCCATATTATATCGGTCCCGTCGGCCTCGGGCGGCTTGCATCTATCTTGTCAAGGCTGGTGTTTGTCTAGGGGTCGTCCACTTCTACACCTGCATGCACCGCGTGTCCAAGGCTCAATCAAGCCTTTCCCGCAGGTGTGATTCCCTCAAAAAAAGAATCTCGTCCGTAAAAGCCAGGACCCCAAGCAAGCGCAACAATCAAAGAAAGTCTCATATATAAAGGGGCAAGTTTCGTTGATGGCCCTCGACAACCCTGTGCCGAAGCCGTCACAGAAGGCTTTCACTAGAATAGACCTTCCTCTTGCGTCACGGATTCGAAGACTGAAATGACGGCAACCGTTTCTTGGGAAGGGGGGAGGGGGGAGGGGGGCCGGGGAGCCCGAGTTATTCTTAACCCGACACGGAAGCGGTTTGCTCACTTGCGACACGCCCCTGAGCCCCAGATCCAACCACTCACGGAGCGCAGCGCACCCTCAGATCGGACGCCACTGGCTGTAAAACATTGTTTCGGATCGGCAGTTTCCTCGTGTCAAGCCACACACACACAATCTTTCCATGCAGGTTATTAGATGTTTCTTTCTTCGAGGTCACACAAGAGGCTGGCTGTTGCACCTCCCGTGTGTTCCTTGCATGGAAGCCTGGCGCACACACACTGCATGGACGAGAGAGGGACAAGGAGAACGTGTCAACAAAGGAAGGCCGGAAGACCACTGCATGTCCCCCTCGAGCACGAGTGGGGCGCGCCCTAAGAATGACGAATCGGTATGCCGAGCGATGGAGCCGGCCGCCCCGCGCCGATATCAATCCCGAGTTGACACCGGGGGTGTGTATGTTTGCGGGGTTCCCCGATGGGCAACCACTCCCACTCCCCCCTTTTCATTTCCTGCTGTCGTTTCGAAATCTGGAAAGGTTGTTTGACCCAGCGTTGAGCATTTCTGATTATTACCTATTTTGAAGAACATAGACGCAGAAATCAGAAACCAGAAACCATGACATCCAACGGAACCCCCGAGAAGACCGGTGCTGCTGCCGGCCCCAACCGCCTTGCTGCGGCTTTTGGCAGGGAGTTATCTCTGGCCTCTCGCTCGGTCCATGCTGATGACTACACCAACTCCCATACCGCAGTGGCGCCGCCAATGCATGTCTCGACCACCTTTCGGTACGCGGATGATCCCAACGAGCTGCTGCCCTGGTCCGACTTTGACGTGAGTATGATGATGCCTTGAACTTACTACCACCAAACTCGGCTAATAGATAGTCCTACAGCCTGCCAGGATGGACAACCCGTACATCTACTCCCGCGCGAGTGCGCCCAACACCACCCGGTATGAGGCCATCCTCACCTCCCTCCTGGGCGGGCCGGTGGTGTCGTACGCGTCCGGGCTCGCGGCCTTCCAC